TTTTAGTAACTGCTTATAAAGTTTGATTAAATCAAATCAGTTACAAAATCAAAGGGCACAAAAATTTAATGGAAAAGCCAGCTAGATGTGATGAACATAATTATGAAATATATTGCCTTTTTTATTATTTATTTTTTTAAAAATTCATTTTTTTTAACAATTATTTAATTTCTCTCTAATTATTTATTTTTTAATAAATCGATCGAATATAATATATATTTTCGGCAGACGAAGGTGTTCGTAGGTTGAGTTGAGAAATTTTTTTAGACTCAACCATAAATTGTTTTGGATTGTTCGGATAATTAATTCAATTTTTTTTAATAAAAATAAAATATTAATTTGTATAATATTTTTTTATTCATTTTTCAAACCGTTAATTAAAATTTAGACTCTATTGTAAAATTAATTAAAAATTATTGGAGAACAAATAATATATATATTATATTTTAAAATTAACGATAAATTCAAGTTAGTTTAGACAACTTAATCTATAAAATTTTCATTTATTCGAATTTAACCCAACTCATATAAGTTCATATTACAATCCAAACGGTACGAATTGTATCGGGTCGATCGTGTTTTTTAAACACCATTATGAACGACACGACAAGTCATAGGTTGTCGTTGTCTTGTTTAAGAAAATTGCAATATCAATAACATGTTTCAAAATTAAAAAAAAAAAAAAAATTATTAAAATTATTTGGATAATTATTTTTGGAAAGTTTAATAAATGAGATGGGATGGTGTTTTATCTCTTGCCTTTTTCAGATCAAACTCATGAATCTCTTTCTTTAGTGGCAGATTCTTTTTAGTTCATAATTTTTAATTATTATTATTATTTAAATAATTATAGTTTCAAACTTTCAAACAATAATTCATCTCAGCTCCAAAAAAAAAAATAAATAAATAAATAAATAAATAAATAAATATATTTTCTTTTATAATTTTCATGGTAATTACTCTAATTTTGAGATTTCTTTCCATAATTGAAAATTAATTGCATTAATTTCAACCAGAAATATAAACCCAATTCTTCTCTGTAAATTTCTGTCACAAATTTGAGATTTTGAAAAGAATAATTTTTTTTTTTTTTGGTTTGAAATGGCGGAAATTGAAGCTTCCAGTATCTCCGCCGTGTCCGGCGGCGACGACGGCGGCATACCGGTGACGGTGAAGTTGGAAAAGATGGTGGTGGATGAAATTGACGGCGGCGATCGGCAGTCGTCTCAGGAGCCGAACTCACGGCAGTTGTTGGATCTTAAGCTTTCTAATGAAGAGTCCGGCGAGGGATCGCCGGCGATTTTGAAGAGGATAGTGTCGGCGTCGCCGCCTCCGCCGCCGCCGGTGACGGTGGATTCCTCTTCTTCTCATGGTCATGCAAATGAATTATGTTCAAATTCAAAATCAAGGGTTTTTTCATGCAATTTTTGCAAGAGGGAATTTTCCACTTCCCAAGCTCTAGGAGGCCACCAAAATGCTCACAAGCAAGAAAGAGCCATGGCCAAGCGCTGCCAAGGAATGGAACTCGGTGGCGGCCGGCCGCCGTATTTAGCGTCATACTACCCGTATACCGCTCTCTCATCTCATTCGTTCTACGGATCGTCGCTTGGAGTACGAATGGATTCGATGATTCACAAACCCTCATATCGGTGGCTCAAATCACCAGGGTTACAGTTTCATGGTAGTTTGGCTTCTCAACCAACCGTGAATAATCTAAGAATATCTGCATTTCAAGCTCAAAATGGTGGGTTTCAATTGACGACGATGATGAATAATAACGTTCAATCAACGAGGAGATTTGACGAAGGTAGAGCGATTTTGATACCAAATTTGAATCTTTCGGAACCCGTGTTGAAGATCGAACACCATGTCGACGATGGCCATGAACTTGATTTATCGCTCAAGCTTTAGTTTCGGTTTGATCTTTATATCCTTTATTTCTATGAATCGACACAAAATATTGTGTTGTTTTCTTTGTTATATCAAGAAAGTTTTAATTTGTTGTAATTTCCCTTTTATTTATCTTTTCCTTTTGTAAATGATGCTCGTGGAATCATCAATCGTCTCGTTCGAGCATCAAACAGTTACGTTTAATTTTTGCATGCCAAATTCATATTTTTGAAAATGTTTCGTATTTAGACGTATTATTACTTACGATGCAAGAATATTATACGGTGAAATAATTCGAATGGAATAGACAAAAGCCCTAAAGGGGTCATGTAAGTACCTTTCTTTAACTTTGAAACGGTAAGCTCTCTTCCTCGTATCGGCTCTTACGGTTGCTATCATGTAATGGTCAGGTGTGCTATGACGTCTGAATTTTGGTATCCGAGATGTTGAAAGATCATTACTAGCCCAATATGGTCATGTCCGATAATTGTACGAGGTAAATATGTAAATATATTTTATGAGAAAAGATTTAAATATTTTAGGAATAAAGATCTCGGTTATTTTAGGAATAAATATAGAAAATAAAAGCTGGTCGATTACAATGTATCTGGTTAAAGTTGGTATAGGTTGTCAGATATCTTGAAACTTTTAGTATGCTCTATGGTTGTAGTTCTATCTGATCTTCTATATCAGAAATGATTTCTTGAGATTAGTAATGAGTGACTTTCTTCGGGTCATGACTCGTCTGTGACTCTATGAAGTATTAGTGAGGTACTGTCAACACGATGAGCGGTTTCTAAGTTGTCAATTGAAGAATCAAAGCAGACAAGACAATGTTTTCCTTGAAAACCCTAATCGAAGAAGAGAGGTTAGAGCACGTTTAGGATAATAAGACACCGAAAGAAGCTTGAGACACGTTCGTGATACTTTTCTCAAATAAGAACGAAACGAGGTTATAACTTTTGGAGAACGAGCTGTTATCAATCTCACAACGGGACATGACGATTGCTCAGTACTTTTGCAGAGTCAAGTCGATCTGTCTGAAGATTACTGAATTAGATTTGGAGTCCGTCAATGGAGAAACTCGAATGAAGAGGATCATCATTCACAGATTGTGACCAAAATATAGAATGTTTGTTATTGCTGTACAAGAATGACTCGCTCAATCATCACTGGTAAAGTTGGAAATTTTGCTAGTTAGCCAAGAAGTCTGAATAAGCAAATGAGAGGCATCATGCTGAAGGTATTTGCTACAATTGTAGGAAGAATGGCCACATGTCCAAGGATTATTGGTCCAAGAAAAAGTTCGTCGAAAGCAATGCGACAACCTCGGAAAAGAAGATGGAGGATAGAGGGGACGCAAAGGCACTATGTGCTTCGGAAGAAGACGAGCTAGCACTCATGACGATGGTAAGATCATGAAAAAATTATGTCCTTCGAGCAAAACCAAACCTGAAAACTAGTGCCAATACTGGAGATGTCAAACCCGTCTCTTGCAAGTGGGTTTACAAAATAAAGTATCCCTCGAATTGATCAATCGAGAGATACAAGGCTTAACTTTAAGCTTGAGGGTTCTCTAAATAATATGAACTAGACTATGATGAAACGTTTAGTCCAGTGACCAAGATCACTACTGTACGGGTCCCGCAGTGTTTGCTACAAGTAAAAATTGGAAATTATGGCAGATAGATGTGAAAAATGTTTTCTTTCACGAAGAGTTGAGTCGAGAGATCTACATGATCCAACCAAAGGGATTTAAGAATGCAGTTAAAGCCATTAGTCGGTCCATGCGAAGTTCGAAGAAGCCTCATTTGGATGCGGCTCAACCAATCCTGAGATATGTCAAAGGTACAATCGGCTACAACCTTTGGTACAAAAGAACAATACAAGCCAGTTGGATACAGTGATTCTGGCTACGCTGAAGACAACGATACCAAAAGATCAACCATTGGGTATGTGTTCAAGCTCGGTTCAGGAACAATTTCCTAGTATAGCAAAACACAATCAACAGTATTATTATCAATTACAAAAGGGAAGTACAGAGTAACGACTAGAGCAACTATTTGCTTTGCTATAAAAAAAAATATGATATGTTCATGTTTTCCCGATTCAATGAGATAGTTAATACAAACATAAGTTTGTAATATAGCTATTAGAGATGTTCATATTTCTCGAGAACTCCATCGGTCCGGATTACCCAACCCAAACTATACAGGTTAAATTTTTGGAAGATCGCAAGTCGATTCGTGAGTTAAAATTTTTCTAGTCGGGTCAACTCGATCAATCCAAAAATAGGGTTACAACTCAACCTAACTTCACCCTCATCATTATAAAAATTAAGAATATTTGACTTTTGTAACTGAGGTTAATAATAGTCAGTGATTTGTGAATGTTTGATATTTGAATTATTAATATAACATATATTATAAATAAATGAGATTTATTTTAAATAATTAAAAAAATAACTCGGAACTTATAAAATTATTTTAATTACATAAAATTATTAGAAAATAAATTTATATGAATTTTGATTTTTGATTTTTCATTTCTTACTATTAATATTTTAAATATATTATTTTATTATTAAAAAAAATACAGATATTTTCTTTATTTTGTCCAAGAAAGTACATTTTTGACAATAAATTGTCACGGAATGATTTTTATATAATATTTGAAAAAATAAATTAAAATAGATAGAAAAAGAAATGAATCTCTCCAAAAAGAGTAAAATAATCCATCAAAATTTATTTTAAAATTTGGAAAAAGAAAAAGAAAATAATTATAAAAAAAAACATATAAATCCAGACGCCACCGTTCTGTCTGACACGTGTACGAAACTGACCCAAATAATTTGTTATTTATTTATTTAATTTAAAGAGAGAGAAAGAAAGAGAGAGAGAAAAAAAAAAGAAGAGAGAGAGAGAGAGAGCGAACAGTAAACGAAAGGAAACAAAACAGAAAAGGACAAAGAGAAAGGGCCGAGAGGCTTAAAAAAGAGAGAAAAACAACAAAGGCGACCTGATTGCGGTTGTCGTCATACCATTTTCGATCTCTCCTCCTCCTCCTCCTTCTCCCGTTTCGTCTTCCTCGAATTCTGTTCACTGGTCAGTTTTTAGATCTGTTGTTTGTTCTCTGATTGAATCTTGTGTTTTTATGTGATTCTGGTGGTGTTTGTTTGCGATCTTGTTTGAATGTTGATGAATTTAGGTGTTTTTTGATTTTCGGGGGGGTTTTGTGGATTTGGAGTGGAAACTGGAGATCTCTTGGTGCGGGTTGTGATTTTGGTGTTCTTGATTGCTTTCTTAGGGTTGACTGCTCGGGGTTTTGGATAATTGTATGTTTAAATGCCGGCGATGGTGGATGTGGATTTGTGGATCTGTTGCGGTTCCGTTTACGCGTTATGTTTTGGAGGGAAATGACTTTGATTGTTTCATTAAATTTCATTTGCAATTTTTTAAAGAAATTTGGGTTTGATTTGAAATGCGACCTGTTCGTTTAATGTCCTTAGTTTCTCCGCTTCGATGTCTATGCGCAAATTCTTGCTTCTCATTCCCCTGATTGCTTGTTCCTTATTGATTGCGCAAATTCATGAACACTGCATTCTTTTTTATTTTTTCTGTTTGTTCCTGTACAAGAACATTCTAATTTGAACATATTTTGGTTCTCATAAAACCCTCAAAACTTTTGTGTAGTTGGAATGTCTAAGGAATATTTGAATTTCTTGGATGTTGGGAAAAGATGATAAATCAATGTACATTTTGTAACTCATACGTTTTAATGTTCCATGAGTGCAGAGTTCTTAGTGGTATCTCTCCATATTGAAATGATATTTTTCTCCCTCCATTGTTCTTCAATGTGAGATCTTCCGTAGTGCAAAAAGAGGGAAATTCTTTTAGATTGAAAGAGAGATGTCATAATCTATTATCATTACTTTTCCTGTGATGCCATTGCCTGACTGTTAATCTTAGGCGCGATTCTTCGGCTATATGAACACGGAGTACTATATCTGAAGTAAATGATGATGTTGGTTCTCAGAAATGGTGGCATGAAAATTTTCTATTTTGTCGTTTATGTCGAGCTAATTATAATTCGAATGCCCAAGCGATTGCGTAACTGGCTTTACTGGCATTTTTTGTGCTCTAATATTCCTATTGATAATGGTTCGATGTATCGTGTGATTTATGTCCTTTCCTTTTTCTACATTATTGTTGGCTGAATGACTGATTTCCACTTTCTATGTCAATAGTTAATCTTGGAAGATGCCGGTGTCGAAGTCGAAATCATCCTCCAAGGATAAGCCTTCTGCTAGGGCTGCTGCCAAGAAACAGCTGAAGGCGTCGAAAAACAATGCTTCTAAAAGTTCAAATAGGAGACCAGCAGCCACTACTTCTCACAATCCAGTTGAAGAATTGGTTCATACCGTTGAAATATCATCAACACTAGCCGCTTCTTCACCCCAATCTGACAATGGTCATTTCCAGCATATGGAAGATACAGACGACCACTTGAGCAGTCCACATGGTATGGTATCTGATTTTGATTTGTCATCCAACAATGGTAGCTGCTCGGGTGAGTCGGAGGATCAAAAAGATAAGATAGCTGATTCTTCGAACCAGCAGGAGAGGGCATCTGGATGTGACCATGAAAAGCGGGAGAAGATTCGTCTAAAGAACGAGAAGAAACACCAGAGAAAGAAAGAGAAACGGGCTCAGGAGTTGCATGAACGATGTAAAGGCTACCTAATGTCTAGAAAGCTTGAAGCTCTTTCTCATCAATTGGTCGTTATGGGGTTCTCTCCCGAAAGCGCTACCATGGCACTGATGTTAAACGAGGGTAAGCTCGAGGAATCCGTCTCCTGGCTCTTTGAAGGAAACCAGGAAGAAGCCCGGAACAAGGACACTGCGAATTTTGCAAGTGGAGGTAACTTGAAGATTGATATTAGCAGTGAGCTAGCACATATCTCAGCTCTTGAAGCACGGTACAAATGCTCAAAGCAAGAGGTTGAACGAGCTGTAGTTGCTTGTGGAGGCGATCTTGATAGGGCGGAAGTTATTGTAAGAGATCAAAAGCAGAAAGAACATTTCAATCAGTCGAATCTTGAAGTTGTCGGTGAAACGAAGAGTATGCCAAGGGCGCAAGAAATGCCAGGGCCTGCATCTGGCTTTGCAAAGCAGTCGAGCAAGAACGATCGAGAACTTAGCCTTAATAGCGCTGCAATGACAGTGCCAGCATGGTTAGAAGCAGGCAGTAGAAGTCAACAACAGTCTTTGAAGACGACTGATCAACCGAGGCTGCTAAGGGGAGGGGAGAAGAGATGGCCTGCTGTAGGATCAGGCCTTTCTTCGTCCACTTCGACACCGCCATTGCCTGTAGTTCATCATCCATACTCGAAAGCAGAGGCTCAAATTGGTGCTTCCAATAACGAAGCAATCAGTCTACAGCAAGACGCACCGGAGCAGCCAGTAGAGCCGGTAGTTTTTATGCAGCAGCCACAATCCATAAACGGATTGCAGAACTCGGTCTCCAGTCCCATACTTCCCGGAATAACGTCACGGTATTCGAACAATACTTCAGCAATTAAAAACATCATTTCAAGTGACAAATTGCTGCACAACCAGAGCAGAGTGAGCGTTGGTGCCGAAAACCAAAGGTTAGAGCAGATCTACCATCAGGCTGTCCATCATCAACCACAGTTCATGTCGGGTCCAGTCGAATTGCTATCGTCAGGGCTCGACATATCATGGGGGAAAGAGAACACATCTTCAACATCTTCACACTCATTTCCTTCAGAACTGCAAAGTTTATGGAAAGCAGGGGGTGGAACTGTATCTTCATTTTCGGTCCCATCGTCCTATGTATCAAACTCGAACCTCAGCCAGGGCGGGACAGCAGCACAAGCATCCGGGCTATTATCACAAATGGACTGGAACATCGGGGGGCTGATGCCATATTGTGACTACAACAGAATAGACTGGACTCTGCATAGCCCAAGTGGGCGAGCAAGCGAGATGTCGTTGTCTCTGGGGTTTTCTTCGTCGTCGTCGACGTACAGCTCGGGGATGCAGGGTGGGGGGGGAGGGGTAAAAGATATGTCGTCATCGTCAGGCGGATTGCGGGATTGGACCTCGCCATTTGCAGGAAAGGACCTATTCAGCGCGCCTAGACAACTGGTAACGTCTCCATTTCCTTAGGGGGGATTGGGGGAAGAATGTAAACATATTGATTGCCTGATTGTTGTTGCTATGAGGATGGCCTTTTCCTGTTGCTTATTTGTAGTTTCATCAAATGAAGAAGAAGGTGCATCTCCATATCTCTCTCTCTCCATCTCTCTCTCTCTCTCCCTCTCTCTCTCTCTCCCTCTCAGTTTAAACAAGAATTATTTCATTTATATCTTAATTTTTTTAGAAGAAAAATCTTGAATTTTCATTCCAGCTTTACTCAAATTTTAAGTAGTTTAATTGAATATTCCAAATATTTCATAAATGAAATTGAATTATAAATTAAATAATTAAAAGTGTGAAATTATTGCATATCCATTTTATTATTTATTTTATGAAATAATTTTTTTTTTAATTTTGAAATATATATTTTAATAAATGTGTTCTTGGCTATATAAGTTTATTGCCTTGGTTGACCCTAGAATTGTGAGATTTTTTATTTTTATAATTTTGTATTGACTTTGACATAATTTCTTTGTCTTGATTCTTTTATATATTTTTTTTTTTTTGTAATGGAACATTTTATTTATTTATTACTAAAATAATATTTTATTTTATATTGTGTACAACACGCAAATTGAAGGTTATTATGGTAAATTTAAACTGTGTTCAAGTAATAATCTATATGGTAAATTTAAATAGTATGTGGTTGACATGTAAGAGGATAAGGCTGTTCGACTTACTAATTGTTACAAATGATCGGATTCGAATAGTTCATGAAAAACAAGAGGGTGAAGATCATCTAAATTGTTCCTAGAAAGACAAGCTGGGTGTGGGTGAGGTTATCATATACATGAGTTTGTATAAACTAGAACGCAAGATATTTAATTCTTTCTCATAAATCTATTAATTGAGAAAATTAATATTTCACAACATGATAATCTCAACCTTGAGCCGGTTCGTGTGAGGCCTTTATTCTTTAATATGCAAGTCAATATGACTATGATTTTGTGAATGTGACTAAACAGAGCGTTGGAAACATAAACCTACCTCAAGAATAGGATTTCTTCGATTCCTTTTAGTACTAGGACAAAAGAGGATCAGATTGAGGTTGCACCGAGATTGCTCGAGCCAAAGGAGTATTGGGCTTGACTGTGAACTTGGGTTTTTAGTATTAGGACAATAGAGGAACAGATTGAGATTGCACCGAGATTGCTCGAGCCAAAGGAGCATTGGGCTCGACCGTGAACTTGGGTTTCGACCTAACTTTTTTCCCTTTTCTTCTCCCCTCGCTCGATGACCGGACCCGATGTCCGTTTTAATCCATTTTATGCCCTTTTAACTTCATTTGACCCTTAATTTCTCTCATTTATTTATCCTCCTAACTTCACCCCTAACATTGCTAATTGGTTGAAAACTCCCTTCAAAGTTTAACCAATTTTTCTAAGAAGTCCATTTTCTTGCCCACCAAGGCAAAGCGCCTCTCACAATCTCCATCGCGTATCGTTTTCATTCGTCAATTCTCAACTCCCCGATCAAAAATCCACTCCCAATCCAACGGAATCAGATCCTGCAATCAATCGACGCATCAATCTCTATGCTATGGCGCCGTCGCCGGCTCACTCCGATCCCTCGCCGCCGAATTCACAGGTAATCCTACAATTCCTCAGCTCCGTCCTCTCTCAGCGCGGCCCCTATGCCGAAGATACCAAGTGGCTGATACGCCAGCACTTAGTCTCACTCACCACCGCCTTCCCGTCGTTGGTCCCTCGGACTGCAACTTTCACGCACAACGATGGCCGCTCCGTCAATCTTCTGCAATCCGACGGCACCGTTCCCATGTCCTTCCAAGGCGTGACCTACAATATTCCGGTCGTTATTTGGCTCATGGAGTCGTATCCTCGACATCCTCCTTGCGTTTACGTGAATCCAACTCGAGATATGATCATTAAACGCCATCATCCTCATGTGAATCCCTCCGGTATGGTATCGATTCCTTATTTGCAAGATTGGATATATCCGAGCTCTAATTTGGTTGAATTGGTTCGTAATTTGAGCGTTATGTTTGGCCGTGATCCTCCACTTTATTCTCAACGGAGACCAAATCCTAGCCCTAGCCATAACCCTAATCCTTCTCCGAGTCCTAGCTCTAGTTTTGGGCGTGATAGTGCTAATTCTTCGCTTGCTTCTAATATGGGGGCTGCCGCTTTCCAACGCCCTGTAATTCCGCCGAGGGGTTATCCACCGTCGCATACTGAAGATCCCAATGAAGTTTTCAAACGAAACGCAATTAACAAGCTTGTGGAAACAGTTCATAATGATATTGTTGGCATAAGAAAGACTATGGAGGCCGAGATGGAAGGACTTTTCAGTGCACAGGGAGCGTTGAAACAGAGGGAGGAAGAGCTAAATAAAGGCTTGAAAGAGATGCAAGATGAAAGGGAAGCTTTGGAGCAGAAATTGCAGATGGTTTTGATGAATTCTGATGTTTTGGAAGCTTGGGTGAGGGAGAATGAGGGGATGATTAGCAGTGATTTCGAAGTAGATGATGCTTTTGAATGTGTTGATGTGCTTTCAAAGCAAATTCTTGAGTGTACTGCTTCAGATTTGGCAATAGAAGATGCTATATATTCATTGGATAAGGCTGTGCAAGATGGAGCAATTCAATTTGATCAGTACTTGAGGAATGTGAGGTTGTTGTCACGGGAGCAGTTCTTCCACCGGGGTACCGCTGCTAAAGTCAGGGAGTCTCAATTGCAAGCTCAAGTTGCTAACATGGCTTCCCGGATTTCTCAATATAACAATGGCTGAAAGATTGTGGAAAATCTTCCCTTTTGCTCTGTTGCTGCTATTTGGATGGCCTTCGGGAGTGTCACTGGAAGGTTAGAATTTTGTGAATCTTGTCCTCTTTTTTACTTTTCATTTCAAATCTGTCACCTTTCTGATCATGATTTTTCTTGCATTTAAATGTTAGAGGGGTATGGAAAAGGATAATATTTGCGTCAAAATCATGTGTACCTACTGTTTGATGTGAATGATAGTATACTTGTGAATGATATTATACTTTTTCTTTCGTAATCTGGATTAGAAATATAATCCTTATGGTGCCTCTTCGTTGGTTCATTTAGAGCCCACGGCTAGCAGATATTTTTCTTTTTGGGCTTTCCTTTTTAGGCTCTCACATCGGTTGGGGAGGAGAACGGAGCATTCTTTATAAGGGTGTGGAAGTCTCTCCTTAGCATACACGTTTTAAATATCTTGAGGGGAAGCCCAAAAGAGAAAGCCTAAAGAGAACAATATCTACTAGTGGTGGGCTTAGGCTGTTACAAATGGTATTAGAGCTAAACACCGGGTGGTGTGCTAGAGAGGCGCTGGGCCCCAAAGGGAGAGTAGATTGTGAGATCTCATATCGATTGGAGAGAGGAACGAGTGTCAACGAGGACACTGAGTCCCGAAGGGGGTGAATTGTGAGATCCCATATCGGTTGGAGAGGGAAACAAAGTATTCTCCACATTAGTTGAAGAGGGCCCGGAAGGAGGGAAAGAGACGGATAGGGTGGGAATGGCCTATCAATCATTGGTGGACCTTCCCTTTAACCCGTCACAGAGCTCTCAACTGAGTTGTTTAGGTTTTGGAATTCCATCTGAGGGGGTTTCGGTTCGAAGGTTAGAAAGTGTATATGGTGCGGGTTAATCTCTCTCGACCCATTTAGGTGAAAGGGAAGGGTGATCGTAGGTACCCAGACGTCGATATCTCTTCTCTATGGTGGGAGGTTTCTTTCGTCTCGACGTGTGTGTTGTGGGAGAGAGAGTGCCTATGCCTCTGAATTGCTCAAGTTATTGATCTTTTCTCCTGAAAACAGTAAGAGTTATTGATTGATGTCTTCTCTTGATTTATATGAACTTGCTTTATGTTATTCTTTGGTTTGGTGGATATGAAGACATGGTGTTTCCTTTGACGCTGTAGTTGATTGTGGTGATAAGTACTAACAAGCTCAATGTGCATTATACAGTTATTGTCATGCTGGTCTCTCTCACACTCTCTTAATCTTATGTAGACTTTTTCTTTGAGCTGTAGTAATCTTATTGGAAGAATTGGAAAGAAATCCACCCTAAGTAGTAGTACCGACACTAAGTTTGGCTAGCTTGTCCGTACCCGACACGTATCGAACACTTGGACACTTCACAATTGTTGGACACGTATCGGACACATGTTAGTACAATAGTTATGTGTTAGACACTAGTGTACAAAGTCAATATATGTCCAATATTTGTCGGTCATGTCTTGAGCACCTGCAATGTATACTTAATAGACGTATTATAATATAGGACACAAATAATAAATTACGTTTTGGTATAAAAATGATACATGTTTTTGAAGGATGTTTTTATTGATTGATGTCTTTTCTTGATCCATACTACAATGTATCTTCTTAGTGGTAATCGACACGGACCCTTAACCAAGATATTTGAATCTCCTACCTTTATGATGAACTAAGAAAAATTGTATCTTTTAATAAACGTTGTCGTATATTCGTGTTGCCCTGGTGATCTTGATTGTTGTAATTGTGCTCCTCGAAGCTATTGTTCCTTACTCCATTTAATAGGAAACGCATGATTAATTCATAGGTGAGAAATACAAAATAGGAAAAAGAGCAAAAAACTATCCCGCTCGATGAGTCAATATCTCTTAATCTGCTTCAAGGTTGTGTCGCTGAACTTTTACCTATTGACTCTAAGGGCACAGTGGTTAAATTCCTCTTGCTCTTGTCGAATCGTCTGACTTATAGACCAGCCATGCGTGCTGTCGTCTTGACTCGACTCTTCTTCCTTCCCCTATCCTCTTTAGGAGGATCCAGGAAGTGTGTATCGTTATGAAATTTAGATTCTTTGTTTGGCTCATAGCTCATAGAAGTACGTTTCCTCTCTCCATACTGCATTTTTTTTCTTTTATGTGTAGATATTTCAGGTTGAAATGGTTGTTGATCTTGCCATTCATGGAAATGTAATTTCTGATGTGTTAGGTGTTTTTGTGACAAAAAAACGATTGGGAACCTCATTAAGTCAAATGCTTGGTTTCTTCGGTTTTGGTATGCTTTCTTCGTGTCATGGTCTCGAGCGAAGAATTTTGGATATTTTATCGAAAGTTCAAATCTTTACCCATATAACTAAAAGGGTCGAATATCGACCGTAACTAAAGTCAATATGATTAGTTGATGAAGTAGATTAGCTTAATCAATTCAAGTCATTTGGCAATTTGGCCTAAAGCTAAAGTCAAAACTACAGAAACTTTCTATCTAAATCATATAAAATTTTAAACAATTAATTTATAATAAAATAGATGTTAAATATTAAAATAAAAATAATTGTAATAATATCTCTACTTTAGTCATTATAACTAAGTCAACAATTTTGTATTATTTTACTAATTACTATAATATGTTTATTTTGAAGTTTAGAGTTGAAATTGACTCAACACTAATTTATTAATTTTTCTAAATGCAAATTATTGACTATTTTAAGAGCTATACCATGGAGAGGGAATGTCCCAACCCGACCTACCCTACCCACGAACACCCCCTATTTGTTAGTCATCTTATTATTCTTCTCTTGTTTATTTTTTTCTCGTGTTCCTCAATAGTTGATCGATTTGCTTTCCTATCCCCTTTTCTTTTCACTATGTAGCTAATACGATAGTTTTCTTTATACATTCTAGAGAACCCTAAACTAAATACAAGATGGTTGTAAGGGAAGCGTTTAAAGCTCTTAAACCGATATGTAAGTTTAGCAAAAAATGAGCGCGCTTGTAACAGCTCAAGCTCATCGGTAGAAGATATCGTCCTCTTAGAGCTTTCCTTCAAGGTTTTTAAAATGTGTCTGTAAGGGAGAGATTTCCACACTTTTATAAAGAATGCTTTGTTCCCCTCTCCAACCGATATGGGATCCCACAATCCACCCGTTCGGGGCCCACGTCCTCATTTGCACTCATTTCTCTTTCCAATCAATGAACGATCTAACAATCCACCCCCTTCGGAGCCCAACGTCCTCACTAGCACACCGTCCAGTGTCCACCCCACTTCGAGGCTCAACATCCTTGCTGACCCAGTGTCCAGCTCTGATTTCATTTCTAATAGCCCTAACCTAAGCTCACCGCTAACAAATATTGTCCTCTTTGAACTTTTTCTTTCATACTTTCTCTCAAGGTTTTTAAAATGTGAGGTTTCCAACCTCATAACCAATGTTTTATTCCCCTCTTCAACTGATGTGGAATCTCACAGCGCTCACACCCGAACATTTATGATCTATAATGGCCACGATTGCAACCAACGAGCCATCTTAAATGGCTTCAAACACATGGTTGACCTAAAATCAAACAAAGTTTACTCACACAAAGGGCAAAAATGGCGAACATCTTTAAGAAAGGGAAGAAAGAACTGTGAATGGGAGGGGAGGACTATGAGATATCTCACTAATTGAGCAGATAACCAGTTGTATGCATGTAGAATTTCTTTGTACATTCTTGAAGAAATGATCTACAAATTACAGTATCTTTGGACTGGAAAGAATCTGAAGACCTTGATCTTCAGCCACCTCTACTATGATGGCTAAAACAGTTGCCAGGCTATTTACATATACATGCATACTGGTTAACTAACATTGCAAAACAATCTGAGCATAGGAAGCTATTTTATGGACCAAATCAGAAAAGAATTGCCAATGAATCAAAGAATCTTTTTTTAAGATTTTTTAGTACTGCTGGATTTAGGGTCGACACGAACCGTCTTGTTTGAGAAGCAATGGCGCACACGGACTTGGTGATTGACTGATCGGGTCGAGCAACTTCCTCGTATGATGACAGTTAACATAACTTCCTTGTCTCGTGTGTCTTCGGACCACCAGTTTTGTGGGATGCCATCAACAAACTCATCGATGGTATGGGATTCTTCATGGTGTACCGATATCTCGACAGCTTGTTCGGGTTTGATTATTCCGGCAGCTGGTGATACCTGCAATTAGAAAGAACATGAGTAAGAGAAATATCACTGGGAAGAAAAGCTCCTTATGATAGGCATAATATTTTGTAACAGTTCAAGCCCAAGTCCAAGCCCACCCCTAGTCAATATTGTCCACTTTGGCCCATTACGTAAAAACTCGTCTACTGGGAAAAGTATTCACACCCTTATAGGGAATGCTTAGCTCACCTCTACAACCAATGTGGGATCTCACTATTTAGCAGATATTGTTCGGTTTGGCCTAATACATATCGCTGTAAGTCTCATGGCTTTAAAACGTATCTACTAGGGAGAGGTTTCTACACCCTTATATAGAATGTTTCGTTCCCCTCTCCAACCGATATGGGATCTTACAATCGACCTATTTTGGAGACCAAAAAAACTCCTTTTAACTGGGCAAAAAAATCCTTGGCAGTGGCAGGAGCCTAATGCATTGGAGCAGCCTTAAATATAAAGGGAATCAACCCAACCAGTTATATAAGTTGTACCATTAATATCCAGCAATTCAGAACCATAAATATTGGTAAGGTAAGCTTGTAATTGTAAATTATGCAATATTCAGCTGAAAGAGGATTGGCCATAAACAAATGTCGATTTCTCGTATGAAAGATCGGTCCAAAACCAACTCTCTTTAAGCTATTAGTGTAACAGTTCAAGTCCACCGCTAGTAGATAGTGTCCACTTCTAGGCTTTCTAAGGTTTTATAACACGTCTACTAGGGAGAGGTTTTCACACCCTTATAAGAAATGTTTCGTTCCTCTTTCCAACCAATGTGGGATCTGACAATCCACCCCCTTGAATGGCCCACCGCTCGGTGCCTAGCTCTAATACCATTTGTAACAACCCAAATCCACCGCTAATATATATTATTCTCTTTGGACTTTCTCTTCTAAGCTTTCCCTCAAGGTTTTATCACATGTCTACTAGGGAGAGGTTTCCACACCCTTATAAAAAATGTTTCATTCCTCTCCCCAACCAACGTGGGATCTCACAATTAGGTTTAAACAGATATACGTTACCTAGGTCAATAATGATTTGTGTTTGCATTTACATCTAATCACAAGGCATAAGACGATACCTCAAGCCACCGAGGAAAGCCAAAAGCGCCTCTTGGAAGATAATCGCGCTGATCAGCTTCGTCCTTGATAGAAGATTGTCCCTTTGAGATAATTTTGAAAGTAGCCACATCTTTCAGGCATTTATTGGTTATGCAGAGAACAGATGACTCCTGATTTTGTAGAACTATACTGTCGGTGCTGACAATGGTTTCGGGAACATATAATAACTCTTCAAAAATAGATCTCACTTTCTCGTTAGATTTTATAATATCTCCGAACTCTTTTCTCCTCACTGACCTATCAGCATGGGAAATCTGAAGGTTAAATTTACATCTAACAGGTTTGTGATCGCTGTCGGTCACTTCCATGCAGGCCTCGTACCTACAAGTACGTCATAGTCTCGAGCATAAGGAAAAAAGAGTTAAGGAAACAACAGAAAACTCCTCCAAAAGCTGATACTCACAATAAAATAGATGATACTACAGGGCATTCTAAAGTACTTTCTGACACGGGAGATGAACGATTGTCACGATATATTACTCGGTCGCACCAGGCAGGAATTCGTTTCTTCTCGCCAGAATCGTATCCTGGAAAAGGTATATGAAAATGTTAACAAGTTTCACTGTAGACAACATGGTGAACCTCTTGAGCCATATACCTGCTAAGCCTGGTCGATGCCTTTCAAACTTGTATGTTGGAGGAAATCTAATGAGTGCCTCACGCATGCCTTGGAAAACTCTTCCAGCTTTCATCTCAGCCCTAAGCTGATCCTTTTCTCTAAGCCAATCAAAGCATCTCTGGGAAACGAAGTCCCGGGCTTCATCGTACGAAATGCCAAAGAGCCGGTAATTAAAATCACCCAGAAATACAACCATGTCTGCATCAGATAACTCGGGTTTTGGTTCTTCAGGATTGACAGCAGCAACCTAAATTACCAACAAGAGATAAACATAGTGGATGATAAAAAGGAAAGTAGCTAAAAATGATGTTTCATTAATCATCAAGACATACATTTGTAGCTCGAAGCGTATGAACAGCAGTCGAGACACCAGCTGCAATTGAGAGGGCGAACGGAAAGCCAGAAGAGTAAAGCAGCCAAAATAAGTATGTGGAGAAGGCAAGAGAGCAAGACAAAAACAGGTATGGCACCATACCAGCTGCATTATTTAGAAGGTTAGATGATCGGTTGAAGACCATGTTTCGAAAGATGTGATCAAAATCGGCATTACGACGGTTTACTGCTTCCAAGTGTGCAGCCAAGTGACAGTTCACAAAGCATATTATCCTATCATAGACTCGGATTCTCAAA